TAAACAGCGCCAGTGAAGATGATGAAAAATACACGCGGCATGTATCCATACACGTGGGTAAATATATGTGTGTGGACGGGTGCACTAAAGTAAATAAACAATTACCTCAATTTTGGGGCGGTGCTGGCGGTGGAGCAGCGTACAAACCACAAAATAACAGCGCGTCGATTAATTATGAATCGGGCGAACGCCGAAGATGGAGCATGGATGTGTGTGAATGGGTGAGAGTGGACATATTGAGTTTCATACGGTGCAGGGGGTGGAAGTGGGAAATTACCTCGGATGATGGTAGCTGCCGCCGTCGACGAAAACTAATTATCGACGGCTGCATTAAAATAATGTTTTAATAACAGCAACAGAAGCGGTGTATTTTTCTAGGTATAATTAAACGCAAATAGACACCCCTTACCTGCAGGGTTGGGAGTTTAGCATTCTGAAGACAAGCGAAGATAAACAAGAGTAGACTGTAATTATTTCACTTAGAATTTAGTATTATTTTAAGAATATTATATATTCTAGGGGGTTGATGATACTTATACACTTGTTGAATAATATTTAGTATGTTACATGTTGATTACTATCATAAAAACTGTCTAAAACAGCAAAAATCCACCCCGTGACTAAAACCCGTGACTAAAGTACTTTAGTCACTGTTTCTGCAATTTGTATTTAAAATACGATTTTTGTGTTTAAAAACCTTGAAAAACTGTTTCTTTAAAAGTGAAAGTAGATAAAATTATGTATGAACACCCTGTATCTCCTAGTCAAAAGTTTAGCAACCACTGCTCTGAAATATAAATTTTTGTTGTGTTTCGAATTTTAAAACCACTGCTCTATGAAGCAATGAATACGATACACCAGAGTGTCGCGCTAAACGAAACCAATTTTCGTAACGCCCGTTATCCCGGTATTACTTACAATGCAATATCGCTATCGGCGTCTTCCCATCAATGATGCAGCGCTTTCTTCTCTGCCCCAACATCACTTGCATAACCAGGCAGCCATCTTGTACCTCCAGAGGCCATTTGAGTGCAGAAAACAGGTGCACCTAAGTAAATGCATAAAAGGAGAGACAGAAAGATACAAATGTGGTGCATGTTGCAGACCTGCATGTCATCAAACAAAGTTGCAAGCTGAAATATCTCCGGGGCGTACGAGCAACAGTTCGCCTCCCGACGTGCTAATGATTTCATTACAACTTCAACTTTAAATGTCCCCAACATTGTAAGTGCACTCGTGTGTCACCAGAGTGCCTGGTTGTGTTTGTTCGCTTGCAGTTCTTAAAGAGGAGGTGGGGGTAAAGTGGGATGAGGGGCTGTGTCAACTGAACAATGTCATCCTGCGGTTTGGTATATATTACCGTATCGGTAATGCGGCTCCTCGACGCTTGCGGCAAGCGAAAATCCCTGATTCCACAAATCGGGAACGCGCGCCGACCAAAGATGAGTGAGAAGAAGATCCCGGGGATCAATGGAAGGGTGCGAGGAGGAGGAACGCAGCAAGAGAAAGCCGAGCGGATATTACAAATCAATTTTCGAGAGGAATCCACTCCCGGATTATGCTACCTTCCGAGCACTACACTTGTCGGATCATAGCGGATCAGAATAAATATTACAAATAAGAGGGCAAACGTTAACCAGCAAAGACCAAAAAAAACAGAGAAGCAATTCTTGTCCATTGGGATAACATGGCACTTAGGTCCATTAGGTAATTCCCAACTTCCGGTTTAATAGTTAATGATTACAACCTGTTTGTAAACAACGTAATCAAGGATGTGATTTTAAATTGATCAGATGAGAATGAGAATGTGGTCCTGGAAGGGCCCTCGGTGTGTGGACGTATGTGCGCGCGCGCGCGTTGTGTTCGCCTCTGGCCACCTCGGTTTATCAAACTCGCCAGGATAATAATTCACCTGTGAAACGGCTGCGCGGCCTTGGGTGTGCGCTTTTAGTGCGCGCACAACTTGGGGTCCGCCGCTACCCGCCTTTGATGTGCGCGCCTGTGACATGATAAGAAAACATTGCACGCCAGCAGCAGTTTCAGCCCGCCCAGATAGAAACAACTCTGGTGGAGAACTCCACCACGTTTGCCATCCCCTCATACTCCAACCAAGCACCACCATTGTACACTATGCGCACAATGCGCAGCAAAGCGGAGCGGAACGTCTCCGGGCTACCTCCTCGCACAGCACACAACACACAGCACAGTCTAAACATATCTTGACAAATCATTTCTTTTGTCCTTGCGACGGGCGCACGCCGCGGGGAAGAGTTAGTCTTCCACGAAGAGGAAACACATGATAAGCGTGTGTCATGGCAAGACGTTTGCAAGCGCCTTATCTCGTTATAACGCAATAAGTAGCATGCAAAGAAGCGCGATGAGCCCGGCGATAGAGCAAAGACTTCCGGAGTTCTCCTACTCGGACCAATTTGCTTTAATGCCTGTTAAGTTGAAAATCTCGCTGTGCTATACTTTTGATAAGTTTTTCTTTGTGCCAGGCGGCGCTTCTTTTGTGCTCAATGACATTGCTAATAGTATCCGACAAAGTGCGCAATCTTTACCCATTGACATAACAACCGAAAGAATCAAGTACCTAGTGATAACAGCTTGTTTTGTTTTGATCCTTATCAGGTTTTATTTAGAAAGTTAGTTAAATGGTTGTCAAAACTTGTTTTTTCTATTTTCGCCAGATTTTCTACTGTTTTAAGAGACAAAAAGTGGTACTTTACACACGACCGTGACTAAAGTATTTTAACCACGGATTTTAGTCACGGGGTGGATAAAACTCAGATTTAGTCATTTGATACTTAATATATTATTAAACTGTCCGTTTTACTGTCCACTGTCCATTTTACTAAAAAACCGTAGAATATGGACCACTCCACTTATCAGGTTTTATTCAGAAAGTTAGCTAAATGGTTGTCAAGACAATAATTAAATCTTGTTTTTCTACTTCCACCAGTTTATCCACCAAAAGTAGTACTTTAGACACGGCAGTGACTAAAGTACTTTAACCACGGATTTTAGTCACGGGGTGGACAAAAACTCAGATTTAAGTCACTTGATACTTAATATATTATTAAACTGTCTATTTTACTGTCTACTGTCCGTTTTACTGTCCACTGTCCATTTTACTAAAAAACACCTTGAATATGGACAGTTGGCTGAAATTCAATTGCGGCAAATTAGAGTTTAGGAGAGGCGCGTAACACGGTAAACGCATTACGAAGCCAAGCTAGGAAATCATCGTTATCGCTGTTAACCGTCGCGCCAGGTCAACTCCTGTCTGAGTTATGCATCGTCCGGAAAACTAGTTCCGCGCAACACCATCGCACTGCAGCATTAATCAAATCGCGCGGATTCAATGTAATCTCGAGTTTAATGAGCAGCATCTTAGGCATCGCGATGTTTATATTAGGGCGTGATTAATGATAGAAATTGTCTGTTAATTACAAGCTAAACTGTCGCGACATGACAGCGGTCGAAAAGTGAGGTTAAACTTTCAAAATATTTTCAAATTTGCAGCTCGGAGGATTAAAAGCATGAAAATTTTTTTGTTCATTTTTTGTTTTAGTGCCCTGCTACTTTGAGCGCAAAAATATTCTGATGAAATATACACGAAGCGTCGATTTGCAGGACCTTCACTCGTCGGCTCTCTCACCTTTCAGGACGAAAACAATTTATTATTTATACGCATATCTGAGTATATTTAAATGTGAACAGAGTGAAGCGCACAAACGCGCAAACGGAATATCTTAGTGCAGCCAACGCCTCTGCTTGATTTCATCAAATCAAAACACAAATGCAGAGATAGATATTAATAATACGTAGGCATAACGCAATTATGTTTAAACATCAAGTGGATTTTCTTTTGGCACAGCGTGAAATGCGCCGCTCTACTCCTGCTAAATTCTGTATAAAGTGAGCACGTGCTCATTTATTATTTACGCGCTCAGCGCTCCGAGCAACATCAAAAGATCGAATGCATTTCTTATGCTTTAGGTGTTGTCATGTCTCATCTAAATTATTCAATTTTTCTTTCAGGCACGCGTGTGTTAGATGTGTAGATACAAGCGCAGAATATTAATTTAATTTAATTTTTAATTAATTCGTTATAAAACACTTTTAAAATATCAGAAATATTTTTATAAGATTTTTGAGTTTTTATTTAGTGGTATACTAAATTTGGTTAATGTGGTTTGTGTAGTTTCGGCCTGAGAAACGATTTTCGATCAAATATTTATGTGAATTTTGAAGCTGAAAGCTTGAAAGTATGTAGATGCGGATTTAGTCAAGCGTATCACGCGCGCACGCATCAATATTTATATTCAAAAATATTATTTGTATTCATGAAGTTATAAATAATTAAAGCGACGTCATAAAAGGATCACGCCGGCTGCGCGCTCAATTCCGAATCGGTAAAATCAATTGAAATCAAATTTGCTCGCCGCCGCCGCCGCGGCAAAAATTGCCGACGAGAATATTAAGCGGCGCATTAAGAGAATTTATTTTTCCATCCATTTACCTGCTTTATTATGACATTACCTCCGCCCGAAAACAAAATACTTATTACCGGGGTAACTGGGATGCTAACAAATGTGTAACTGCTATCGATAATCATAACTTTCAACGACAATCGTTGAAATAGTTGAATGGTAATGAATGCACAGCGTGTGCGTCGAACGTTAACTATTTATTGTTATGGTAATCGTCGTGGAGGCTTAATATTAAAACATGGTAATAATGTGATTAGGTCGTTATGAGCATGCCGGAGTGTCATCATTGGTGGCGCATTACGTGCGGCACGAATCGAAGATTGGTTATTTATGAGCGTGGGGTGGCAAACGAACAGGTGTTTTATCGCTCACGCAAAACAATCAGCCGACGTTGAGTGATTGTTGATTGCGTTGAGGCGAATCTACCCTAGACAAATCACAAACAATAGAAAAATTTAAAAAAAAAATAAAATTACTTTAATCAAGCGTAATTTGCATTCGCAGGTCTGCAATCGAGGCAAATACTTTGGGATTTATTGACGAAGACGCCAATGTCGGCAATGTCGCCATTATCTGACGAGATAATCGAATTCGCATCGGTGAATCTGAGTTCCGCACCGAAAGCTTCGATGTGAAGGCGCCGGGCGAATTAGGACGGGCGTGCTTCTTGAGTCCCTTTTTACCCTCAACGGTCGGCAAAGGTAAGCGAATTAGGCGAATTGTTTGAGAATGCAAGATCCACAAAGAGTTTCAAATTAAATTACCGTTTCTTCTATATGTAGACAAATTTGATCTGAATTAGAATTCAAGATGTACACGTATTGAAACAAACTACAAACACGAGGTGTTTGTTTTCAGAGCTTTAAAAACGCCTTTAAAAATTTATGTCGCTGTTTTCTGTTGGAATATTTCAGTTATTGTCCGATGTGCTTTGTTTTGCCGCAACGACTAATTTCGAACCGGTTTTACGATCTGAAAAATGATGTTTTATTGAAAACTCCACAATGCGAAAGAAACAATGCTTTTTTGCTGGCCTTGTTCCATCAAAGTTCAAAAACGTATTTGTTTGCTGGGCGCTTATTTGCGTCCGCTTCCGAACGAGACAACACCACGCCGTCATGATTCGAAATTAATCACAAAGAGATAGTACTCGTACAACAACATCGTATACGCGAGGCGAGGCGAGGGATGATGGCTAAAGCTATCGTCCGGCGAGTTGAACGTTTAGACTAATATCGTCCTGCTGCGCTTCGTGTTCTTCTGTGCGTCCATTAATTTCCGGTGCACACTGACACCGCATCTTCATTCATTATGCAGCTGGCTGCGGCGTATTTATGCGATCTTTAAAATTCATGAAACTTTTTCCGTGCGCGCTGACAATAAATGTTTCATTATTGTCCTCTAACCTCCCCAGGGGGGTTGAAACACAACGAAATTTTAGTTTTAGTTCAATTATTATTTAGTTGCGCAAGAGTTGCGCATGCAAAAGTGGCTCGGGAGCGGAAAAATTCATTACGAAAATTTACGGTAATTAATTCTTGAGAAACTCGTTCACTCGGATTCTACACTTGAAGATATTACTTGGAAAGTCTCACATTATTCCAACTTTTCACTAATGTGGAAGATCTTTGCCTTAAAGTAAAGCGTAAAGTGCAGAAGCGCGGTTTGCATCAAGTAAATTTCCATTTAATTTTTTTCTTTCTAAGAAAAATTGAAATAAATCAAACAATTGTGTAAATAATTCGCTGGTGAAAATTAACACTCCATAAGCATAAGCACACACGCATAATAACCGAATCCGGTTCTAATTCTTCGTCCGTTTCGGAAATTGCGGTTCTAATTGCCCCATTTATTATGCATTGCCGTTCGGTACTTCATCGCAATCATCCTTCCGGAGAGCTCACCATCAATTAAAGCACCGATATTGATTCGTAGAAAATCTAAACGAAACTAAATTATCAGCTCCGCACAATAATGCCCCCACAGCCTCCGGAGGTTCCATCCTGATTTGTATTCCGTGCGATGCAATGACATACGCGGCGGCGGCGCGCTTCCTGTCCCAGTCCGAGCCGGAATTACACGCCGCCTCTTTAATTAATATGCTCGGGACAATTCCGATTTCCGCGCATCGGTGTATATCCCATGCGTGTGTGTGTGTGTGTGTGTGAATGCGGATGCCGCATTGAAATTATCCTATTGCCGTTTGCCTCTTGGTCAAACTGCCTCCCTCGCATGAAGGGTGAGAGGTTTAGACCGGAAACATTTAAAATTTAGCACCTGCAAAGGTGGCTCGTTTTTAGTTGTGATTAATTTCGGGCGTGTAACGCATGTTGGAACTCTAATCGAGTCCATCTACATGGTTTACAAACCGCAGCGCTGCGTGGGCGCCTCCACCATATTCTAACAAATACATTTAATCAGAAGCGCGGAACACCGCACATTTTACATCACAACTAGTTCTAATTTTAGAGGTAAAAATGTGTAAAAATTTCGTTACATTTCAATATTTTACGTTTTTACACCCCAAAGCGATGTGCTCGTAAGTTAGGAGCGGCTAAATATTTTATGCGCACTAACCTGCTTGCAAGGACGGTTTGGGGGGCGGCGGTGGTGGTATGCAACGCGCGCTTGGCTTGGCTTAACTAGGTATAAACAGTGACTTCATGCATAATACATGCATCGACAGATACTGATATAGAACCACCGCCGCCGCCGCCGCCGCCGCCGACACTGTCCTCGTTCCAGCAAACGATTATCTACATGAACGCTTTTATTTTATGCACGACGCAATCTAACTTTTAACTCTGCGACCCCGAATTAAAATGCTGCGCATCGTAGGTGCTCGTAATTGGAATAAAATCCAACACTTAAGTAACGAATGATTATGTCGCAAGATGAAGACTCCACTGCGTCGCACGGTGCTAAAATTTAAATAATACTAAAAGCTGAAACTCGATGCGAGCGCAGAGCGGTCAATCGCCGATCGTATAACCATCTATATCCAGCAGCTACCTGCTATGCTGTTCCACCGACATCCGGTTTTACGACGCGAGCATAAAACTCGACGTTTCCGACATTCGACCGATTTCGAAATTTAAGAGTAGAATTACGCGCGCTACACGGAGAGAAAAAAACTTTTCGACTTACTGCTCGTGTCCTGCTTCGGCTGCGGCGGTTGCGTCTGCTGCTGCGTCTGCTGCTGTACGGCTTGGACGACCTGTGCGCTGGTGGGCGCGAGGAGCGGCTGCACGGCGAGCAGCGTCGGGGGATTCGTCGGCGGCGCTGCGGCCGTGGTGGCGGCGCTCCCGCCCGAGGTCGCCCACCCACCTTTCATGTCCTGTAAACAACCACCGCACATTAATCAACTGCACTTTACCAGCCGCGACGAAGCGAGGCAAAACGCCTCGCCGCCGCTGCCGCCGCCACCACTGCCGCCTGCGGCGCTTAAAAGTCTCCCTCAGCGTTTCGACCATTGTTTCGTCAACCCTTTCTCAGACATCCGCAGCAATGACAGTGAAATATGCGCGTTTATTATAAAAATTCACCAAATATCCAAAAACATTGCATGTACAAAAACCTACTCAACATTTACGACTTGATAACTTTCGACAGGTAGTAATATTTTTTTTATTAAGAATAAAAATGTAAATAAACGCTGGCGGTGAGTTAATGTGCCGCATTAATCGATAACTATATTTTATTCGTGAAAAAAAAAAAAACGTTTGCGCCGCTGTTTTATATCTTCGCACTGTTCGCCGCCTCCGTTTCAATAAACGCTCGCATGCTATGCACACGCAGGCAAATATTTTTTGTCGCTGCTTTGCGTTCGCTACATAAATAAAGATTAATTATTGCAGGAAGGGTCGTATGTGGGGCGGCGGCTACACAACCGGTGGCAAAAATCCAGCCCGTCACATTTGTTTACCTTCGTATATATGCACTTACGATATCGCAAGTAAATTAATCAAGTCGGTTGGTTACGCATCGGTGACAGTTTTATTTTTATTACCTCACAGAGGGAAAAATATGAAAAATACAAAAATACCGGTTTAAATACCGGTAAATCCCGGTTAATGTTGATTGAAGCTAATTTCCGGGCCGAAACTCAAACTGATAATGATCCGGTCGTCTGCAGCAATGCGGTATTCAATTATGCACGTAGTTGTTTAGTAATTTATTGAATTGTTCATGCCGACGCTGATTCTGCATTAAACCGGTGATTATAGATTTCTAAACATCTGTTATTAATAGAATTTCGCGAAATAAAATGCATCGTCCGCCACTGTTGACAAATGTACGTGCACTAGATTCCAAAGTGTTTATGTGTACATTGAAACTAATTAATTCCGCCGGCGATTAATTCAATAGGAAATGCTGTTTCGATGTTTCCAGCGATGATAAATCGCGCCGAAGCGATAAAACACTCCGCCTACAAACACCACAGCGTTTCCTGCCGCGCGATGTGTCGCGCACTTTTCAGCCAGCGTATCAAGATTGTCGTAAAAAAATTTCAACTCTCTGCCTGTTTGCATACATCTGCATATTAAATATATTTAATTAATGAAAATATAAATAATAAATTTTGTGCGCAGCAGCAACAGCGGCTTTGTTCGTGCGGTGCGTTACATTTTTTTGTTTTGTTATGTTTTTTTTTTCTAGGCGAGGCTGAAAAAAAAAGGAACTAGCACGCATGTGACGTACTCATAAACGCGCGGAATGGTCGCGAGTAATCCACGCTTATGTGGTAATGCAGTAGTAAAGAAAAAAAATGGCCAACTGTGTGTATGGTGTGTGTTTGTGTGTGTGGATCAGGAATAACGGGTGTATTTTATGTTGTCATGGTGGCCGCACGCGACTTTGCATGACAGCCGGTTTATTACGAGGACGATAAGATCTTCGCCCCCAGAAGTTGGACTCGCGTAACTCACCCATCCGCCATACCTTGTGTTGTGTTGCAATACCGGCGCCTCCACCATCCACCATCTCGCGACACAAAAAATGCATTAAGACATCTTTTTTGCTTTAAAAACCGATACAAACAAAATTAATGTTTGCAGTTAGTTTTTGACGAGTTAAAATTAATATCTAGTTTGTCAGAGCAGGGTCCTGTCATTACTAAAACCATGTTAATTGAAATCTGATAAAATCCAGCGCGTCATGCATTATTCGTTGTTTAATATGTCTGCATCGACGTTTAAAACACCACTCAGCGTATGCGTCACGCGGCGGACGAAACCAATCGGCGGCGATTTGTTTTGCGTTAAATTATTATTGTGTATGCAAGTGCGTTCCGCATCGATCCCTCTCGGCTCCCAGTGAAGTTGTTCGCATGTTGAAAAATATAAATACATGTGCCGTGGTATAAATTGCGCGTTAATATTATAATCCACAGCGCGCACGCAAAACGGAAAACCCTTTTTTGTGTACGTTATGCATGCGCGCACCCAGCGGCTTATTAATTATTTTTAAATAGCTTTTGAAAGATTAAAACGCTAATGCATATTAGAGAATGTAGTTTCATCGATTATCGAATGCATTGCGGAGGGGTATTCACATCAATCGGAATGTTTCGGTGGCAGAAAATATATCGCGCGAGTAAATTGCTGCTGGGCATTATGCGCACAAATTGTTTACGATCGCACTAGGAATACCCGTCGATGCGGGCGCACATGTAAAATGGAAATAAGTTATAATTGCTGGACCCAACGTCGTTATCTAACATGCCGCGTGGGATTTGCCACCACCTTAACATTTATTTGTTTGTATGTGTATGTTGGGTTGCGGACTTTACAACTACTGATTTATATGCATATAGGTTATCTTAGTATTGATGGATGATCACGACTCATGAGATACAAAAAGTAAAAGAGCGGACATTGTCGCACATCATTTATGTGTGTGTGTGTGGGTGTGTGTGTTGTGAAGCGAGCCAAAATAGCCACCGCTTATTTCTGTGTTTTGCGTTTACCTATCTTGGACGATTTATTGTTGCCCTCGCAACAGGTACGCGTCGAGAATGTGCTATCGCCGCCACCGTTGCCGCCGTCGACGAACAGACGTATCGCTGGCGAACTAGCGTTCCAAACTATTCAATGCCCGACGCGAGAATGCCATCATCCGCTGCATATTTGCCCACCGACAATGAGATACGACCAGATACGTTCGACGGCGCAAACTTTCCACATAAAAACCCCGAGGAGCGGTGAAGGCGGGCGCTTGCCAAAAATCACGGCGGAAACTTTTATCTGTGTTGTACGTTTTGTTTGCGCACCCCCATCATAAACACGATTAAATAACGCTTCCGAATATTATTCGGCGATAATTCTTACGGCAATTCGCGCAAGCTGCCAACGTCGCACCGGAAATTTATTTCGTTAGCTTTTTACAAAAATAGAGGAATAGAGGAATCATACATCCGAATAGGAGAAGAGAGTAGTTGTTAACAGTTGTGATAAATTTAATAAATTATAATAACAAAGTACACTTCATTCTCATTAAAAACGAAGTGCACAACAACGTGCCGACGTTGGCCGGGTGGTTGGCACGCGGGAGCACAGCGCCTTTTGTCTTATCATACGCCGTACGCGTATATAAGTGCGCCGTATTCATGTAATCCACTCCGGGGGTTGCTTTCGTCGCTGCGCGCGCGCTACGCGACTGCCTTCTTTCTGTTAATAAAATTTATGGTCAAATAAAAACGCTCGAATGCAAAGCGCAATTTTCCAAGCGCGCCGCGTGCTCGTTGCTATTTTTATATTCGGCATGGCAGCCGGTTGTCTTCTTCTTCTCCTTGTTTTTTTTTTAATCGGATGCTCATTCCACTAGCGCAGAAATCCGTAACTATAGCACACATTTTCGCAATGCGGATAAAGCGTGACAAATGTCTACAAACTAGTTGGTCTCGAAACAATTCCGAACACTGTTTACCACCTCATAATAATAATTAATTAAAGGTGTGCGCAAGATTGAAAATTATCGCGAACGATAGCTCGGGGAGAACGCTGTCGTTCGCCATCCAAGACGCCGGCGAACTTTGCAAACATTAAACATTGCAGAAACACATTGTTGTTTTATTGCTCTCGGTAAACATACTGGTTTTAATCAACACTGTGTGTATACTATAAGAAAATTCGGGCGATTAAAATTTTACGCGCGTATTATTTTTAAATTCCAAATGTAAATATTATTCAATTCATTACGGAGGAATAGAGTGCGTTTTCGGTGGAGGCGGCGGGCCTAAAACGACTCCCACGGCGATGCAATAACTGTAACATTAGGGAGTCATTCATTAGCAAGCGGGTGGCAGCGCGTGGTGAAGGCGCCGGGCCGCGGCCGAATATTCAAAGCGCGCGCTTCTAAGCTTCTTGTTTATTTAATGCCATTTGCGCGCCCGCGATGGCATGCCGTTTCATCGACCGCCATTCGCCGTTGAAATGCGCTCGCGTAAAGTGTCAGGTGCGCAAACGACGTCAACGCCACTGGCTGCTGCTGCCATCATCGTTGTAATCATCGCCAGCGCGCGTTGAATTCGAAATGGCGCATATAATTGCGCACGCGAATGGAAACTTTACTCGGTGTGTGCTAAATGTGTTGCGCACATTTCCTGCTATTCACCGTATATACGGGTCACATCTTGCACATCTCGTGTGTAATTTAAGAACTAACCCTCTGTTACACCAGCCTATGAATATTTTACGCGCACGGATTAATTTCTATTTTAAATCGGAAAAGTTTCCCCGGCACGCAATTGCGGTCATCAGAACCCAAAGAGAGAAAAAGTTATCGTTATTGTTGACGAAGATCTAAAAGCGATATTCGACGAGCGGATCCCTCGACGTTAAAAAAGGAACTAATTTCCGTTTAGGCCGGTCAGAGTGAAATTGCCTTCAAGTGAGAGCGGCACAAACTTCTTGCCCTTTTCGCCCCGGCGACCATTAACGAGAGAAGCAAGCCGAAACGAAACGGCGCGCGGAGATCTCGGCGAAAGATTAAAAGACTGCGGTGCGCAATTTGCTAACTTGGTCCACGCCGCTCGACCCATGCACACCTAATAAGATATTTAGTGTTTACAATGTTTGCGCAATCTTTTTACGCCTGGTAGTTTTAACCCTGCTTTCTCTTCTTCTGCTTGCCATACCACACCCTGCACCGAGCGTGAACGCGCCGCGCATTATTTATTTACCAAAACGCTTGTTTGTCTTTTGTTGTTGTTGTCGATTTCACGACTAAATTGCCGTGCAAGCGGCAGCGGCAGCGCTAGATTGGTAAACAATGTGTCGCGACTGGCTCGGGGGACGCGCAGGCAGGCAGGCAGAGGCGGTTTGTGTTAGTTGTTGG